TGGAAGGGGCGTAGTGACCACAGAGACCCCGGAAGAGAAGTCAGATGCCTAATCCCGTGGGGACACCGGGGAGGGGGAGTCAGGCACAGGGGGATAACAGTGGCAGTGCCAAGAGGACAAGGAGAGCCCCCAAACCAGAACCTCTGGTCCTGGGGTGCAGCTTCAGCATGGAGCTCCCGTGGGTGTCCCACCTAAACCGCATAGGGGCCACACAGGGTCCTCTGCCCACACTCCTTCTCTCCAGAGAAGCACCATTAGGACCCTTACCCACCCATAGGGTCATGCACCTCTGCCCTCACCCAGATGGGCATGAGCCACCACCAGGTCCCTGGGGCCAGGAGAGCCACGGTGCAGCAGGGGAGCCATGGGCAGGGGAGTATCTCAAGTACCAGGTACCCACTGTGCACTGCCCCATCTCCTGCCTATCCCCTTTGACTTCCCATCATTGCTGCTGGTGATGGGCCATGCACCTCACACCTCCAGGAAGGGGATTTCTGGGCAGTCCCATCAGCGCTCAGGTAAAGCTGCAGCTGCATTTGGCACATCCGTGCTGCAAAGGTGCCGCCCTCCATCCCCTGGGAAACCACCCTGCATCCCCTGGGAAACACTTCCTTGTTTGTCCTCCATCACGGTGAGGTGGTACCTGTGTGTCTTCCAGGGTATCCCTGGGGGAGGGGACATGTCCCACAGGCAGCACTATGGCCCCTCAGACCCCACACTCCAGCCTGGGAAGGCTCTGGCTTTGCTGTTGTTGTTTTGAAGGCCAAGTCTCTCCCGCTGACACCCTGGAATTAGTTTTTCTTCCAGAGTCCTTAAAAATATCCTGGATTCCTGACACTGGGACTTGTCTTCCAACGGTGCTTCCAAGCCACCGGGCCTGGGGCCAGCTGTGAGCGCCGAGGGACAGAGGCCGTCCAGCTCTCGTGCTCCTCCGAGATCACAGCAGTGCTGGGAAGGAGTATGGTGCTGAGGAAGATCACAGCCCCTGCCATGGCTGAGTTGTTACTTGCCACTTCCACGGTGGAATGGTGCTCAGCAGGGCACAGGCAGGGCACAAACACTGCCTTGCCTCAGCAATGCTCCCAGTGGCTTCGGCGTGTGTTCCTGTGCACAGCCAGGAGCGTGGGAAGGGTCTTTCAGGGACCTCCAGCAGCCGTGACCCTACAGAACCCCACAGCTGAGGACTGGGCTGTGGCGAGGGTCCCAAGGTACTGTCCCAGACGGGATTTCCCTGTGCATCCCCAGGACAGCACGTGGTCCCAGAAAACTTCTGGCTGAAGCCTGTGACCCACTCCTGGCTTCCGCAGTGGGAATTTGGGGTGGTCCGGGGTGGGGAGGGGGGGCTGAGCCAGTGTGGCTGGTGGGGGGTGCTGGGAGAGGTGCTGTTCCCCCCCCAAAGGCCGGGCAGCTGCCCACCGGTCGCACACACTGCTGTTGCCATCTGACAGCTCTTGGCGAAACGGCCTTTTGTGATTCAGCCGTGTTTATCCCAGCCCGCGGCCCGGCCCAGCGTGGGTTTCCATGGAAAACTTCCATCCAAAACAAGGAGAGAAGGAGCTACAGCAGGAGTGACTCAGCCACAACTGGAAGCTTCTGCGGGTGAAGCAGGGAAGGGGGGGCTGTTCCCAGCGGCTTGGTCCTGCTCCGGCAGCAGGGCCTGGGGCTGGCCCCTGGCTCTCCCCTGCCCGTGCTGCTGCCTCCTCGCAGGCAGGAGCCAGGCAGCTTTGGGGGAAACTGCGTGATATGACAGTCTGCAAAACACATCACCCTCCCAAAGCGCCCCCTCCCCACGCCAGCGCCAGGCCCTGCTGGTGGAGATGGGAGGAAGAGTGTGAGATGAGTAAGGCTCAAACCCTGCCATGATCCGTACCCGGTGCCAGGCTTGGTGGGACGTCTCTTTCTCCAACGCTGCCCACAGGAGTCCCTGCCTGTGCCTGGTGTGCCCCATGTGGGTGATGGCAGGGTGGGCAGCAGAGGAGACCCCGAGCTGATGGTGACACAGGGAGAAGGGGTGCAGAGAGCCAGGGAAGAGGTGGTGGGAGTTTGTGGGGAGGCAGCAGTGCTGGCAGAGTCTCTGCTTGTGCTGGTCTTCTCCCACCCTCCCTGGGATGCTGGGAGAGGGCTGAGGGCTCTGCTCACCCGGGAGGGGGGAGCAAAGCCCTTCCCTGCCCAGCCCCAGCCCCCGTGGCCACAGCAGGCTCCTCACAAGCAGGGCCATAGGCAGGGCCTATCCCTGGGGTCACCCAGGTGACTCTGATGGCTGTGTTGGGGTATGGAAAGGGCCCACCTAGGGAGAAGAGGGATGACACTCCCCCTGCCAAGACATCCAGGCTCCTGGTGCTGCTGGGTAACACCAGTGGCTATCCCCAGGGCCCCCTTGTCCCAAGCCAGTGGCATGGCTGCCACCCAGAGCCTGGGCTCGCTCCATTACCCCCTCATGCAGCAACAGCAACTGCTCCAGACTGTTCTGGAGGAAAAAACGACTCCTCTGGGCGGGTGGGAGGAGAGGAAACCCCCCAACAGCAAAGTGAATGAGGGATGGGTGGGCATCAGTCAGTCTTGTCTCCAGGCAGCTGAGCAGTGTGGCTGCATCCCAAGGACAGACTTGGATCTGCAAGAGAAGCAGGGGCCAGCCCGAGGGCATCTCGCCAGCAGAAAAAGAGGGAGAGGGAAGGATTCCCAAGGCAAACCCCTCCGTCCGGCAGGGACACGCAGTGACAGCCGCGGGAGCCGCTTCCCTCCTCCCATCACACCAGGGCCCAGCAGGACCTCCCTCCGCTGCTCACACAGGCACCTCTCGCGGACGAGGGTCGCGTTTCTCTCTTTTTATTAGTTTATTTTAACCCGGTACAGGAGCCAACCGGCAGAAGCCATCTTTAAGCAGATCCTGGGAAGAGAGAGGCAGGTACTGCAGCACCCCAGCTCGGGTCACCCCTCCCTCCCCAGCCCACCCGAGGGAGCCGCCCGCAG